TGTGTGTGTAAATTGTATTAGGCATTTATAAAAAAGGAAGATATATTCACATATATGTGAACCATGCCTTTGTTCCACAATGCAAGCTTTGACTCTCATGTTTCTAAATAACAAGGTGGACCACATATATCACAGAAAGATGGGTCTTATTAATTTAGAACATATGCATCTGTTGTTCAGAAGTCATTACATACTACATGAAGGTGTAAAACTCATATTAAAATGACACATGTTTTTGTGTCGCCTTATTTTTCTCCTTTTCATGTGATGGCGACATATCTTCACTGACTTGTGAATGTTGTGCAGTAGCTGGCTTTTCCTGATCCGTAGAGGAACGACAACTGTAGAAACGTATAATTAATTATTTAGCAATCCAAAATAGCATAAGGTAAACAATACGCTTGTATGTACACATAACTTAATTGCACTAGAGAAACATTGAACTTACCCTATGCATGGCGGTGCTGGTGTAACGGGGGTGGCGGGAGTTGGAGCTATATCATGATAGTCAAGTGGAATATACTCTAAAGATTCTTTTGTGAAATCATCTGAAAAAACAAAATACGACTATTAATCATTATCTATGATTGAAAAATTGTTGACTATGTGAAGAACATGAAATTATATTTCTTTGACAACTTATTTTATGAAAAGGATGGCAAAAATTAGTCTTAAATTTTTGCATACCTACAGTAGTTCAGAATATATCTAAACCTCTTGTGTAAGATCTATATGTGCAAATTAAAGAAGGATCACCTGACTTAGATTTAAGTTGACGAGTAGCCGCTAGTGGTGCATGGGTGAAAAGAATGGCGACCAAGCAAAAAGAAACAAGGAGGCAGAAATGACCACCCATGGTTCTTTGTGAATTAAAGTTCGGATCCTTGAGAGTATGTAAGAGACGACTCTATATCCTATAGAAACCGTAGCATATATAGTCACATAATAGCGTGATTTGGTACCTATCAATTGATACTATTTATTAGATCATTACTAAAGATAATTAATGATGGAAGATAAGTACTCCCTCCGTTCCTAAATATTTATCTTTTTAGAGATATCAAATGGACTACCACATATGGATGTATATAGACATATTTTAGAATGTAGATTCACCCATTTTCCTTCGTATGTAGTCATTTGTTGAAATCTCTAGAAAGACAAATATTTAGGAACGGAGGGAGTACTAAAGATAGGAAGTTATGATCTACCATTTATTTCTTGGAAGGGAAATATTAGGATGTACCCAAATTAATGCGAGACATTCATACTTCTCAATAGGCAAGAGGTCATCAATAACTCTATAGGGTCAAGATGGACATTATGTAACATCTCAATTTTCAATTTGGATATTATACATAGGTCATCATGCATATCATATTTTATTTGCATTTTGTTTGTGATCCTAGAAATCCTAAGCAACTCAAGGACCCACGGAGAGAGTTGGGGATTCCATTTATTTTTATATTTGAATTTTTCTCAAATTTGAAAAGAGGATCATTTTGATTTTAATAATTTTTCTCTCCGAAATATTTCTAATATTAAAAATAAATGAGTGGAGATAAAACGACTTCTCCAAAATAAGAGGGCAATATTGGAGGAAAATGTTACAATCAAATAAATATTTTATTTAGAATTTTAGTGCTATTTTATTTGAATTTAAAAAATGCATTTTTAGGCGAGAAAAATGTTCACTTTGTTCTAAATATTTTATTTAGACGGTGAAATTGTTTTTGACATTTTTAGGATTTTTGTTTTCGGCGAATTTTTTTTTAAAAAAAAGTTCCCGCTCGACTGGGCCGAAGGCCCAGCCGAGCAGGCCGGCCTGCTCGCGCCAACTGCCTCAGCGTCGCGTCGTCGTGCCACCGGCGGACTCCAACTGGAGTCCGAACCGGACTCCGCCGCTGCCGCCCCCTTGCGCAAGAAGCCCCCCCGAGGCTTTATAAGCCAAGGCCCTCGGCCCCTCTTGCCACCATCACCGCCCGCAGCAGCAGCCGTAGCCGCCGCCGTCGCCGCTTGCCGCGCCGCCGCTGGAGCCCCGCGCAACATCGCAGCCCCGCGCCGTCGCCTCCCCGCCGACCCCGCTGCCGGATCTCGTCGCCCCGTCGCTTGTCTTTTTCGAGGAACCGGTAAAAACCGTCGCCGCCCGGTTTTTTTTTGGTTTTTCGTTCGGATTGGTTAGATCGGTTTTTTCGGTTTCGCTAATTAGCGAACGTTCGCCTGAACGCTTCTGTTAGCGAACGCGTTCGTTCGTTTGTCTCTGATAACGAACGTTCGTTCGTTAGTCTTTTTCTTTTTGTTTTATTTTCGGCCAGGGACCTATCCGCGATTATTTTTATCACAAATTAACCCCTAATCTTCAAACCCTCGCAACTTTTTAATCGAATCCAGTGAAACCAACGCCAAAATCTTCGTCTCGAACCCCTCTTTCCAGTTAACCAACTTGAACATGATTTTGACAATTTAAAATTTAGTTTCAAGCAGATTTGAATTTGAACTTCTTTTGAACGTAGTTTGAGTTTCGTAACTCCGATTTGATTGATTCTTTTTGCAAATCGAAGCACTTCAGTTGAACTTTCAGTTTGGACTTTCTCATCTGAGTTTTACCCTTGCATCTGTGCTTGAGTGCTTATGTATGCTATTGTTTGTTTGCGATAGAATTTCCGGAGTGCGAAGCGTGCTACTACGAGTCTCTAGGGTTTGCAGATCGTCAGCAAGGCAAGTAACACTTTGATCATATCCCTTATTACTCAAGTTTTTATGCATTAGTCTCAATCCTCAAAACATTGCATGAGTAGGATCTGTTTAACATGTGGGTTTCGGGAAGTAGTTGTTGAGGTAGTACCTATTGCCCTTTTATTCAAACCCTGGGAGTTACTTCTATGTTATGATATACTGCTATGCTATGCTCGTAGACGTGGTTTGATTTTGAAAGAATTCATGAAAGATGTGAGAGATTATTGTTAACTAAGGTTTAACTTAAGGTGGCTACTTTAACACACAACTGGGTGGATCGTTTGTGGGCACCTGGGGCAATCCAGTGTTGTCCAAGGAGATCCCGGTGAATCCATGTGATCATCCTATGATTCGCCACCTAGGCTCAAAGGGATCATAAGGTTATTCATGCTGGAAACTTCCGTGTGCAGCCACAAGCCATTAGGGGCTCTGGCATAGTTGAGTAAGTTGTGGGAATCCTTTCCATGATGGGCTAGCAGATGTAGGGGATTGTAGGTGTACCGGCCTATCTATCGGTTAAGGTGACCTCTTCGAAAAGACTGTGTGTCGGTCATCCGTTTCTCAAACATCATGCAGTGTGAGAAATACAACGGAGGAGATTGAGTCTTGTGGGAAAAAGTACGCAAATCTCTGCAGAGTGTACAAACTAATCATGGTTAGCCGCGTCCCCGGTTATGGACATCTTGAGTATCTGGTTCTTGAATTTTTGATGTGATCTCAACACTCTTAATTAATTTTGTTGGGTTGTTAATTACTATTTAATTGGGATTGATATGGGGTTACCATTCTCAAGTTTTCAACAAACTTTGTAGTTAAATAAAATATATTCCTTTGTTGTAGAGAAAAATTGGCTTTTCGCAAAAACATTAACCATAGTGCCTCCACCAGCCATATATGCATGTAGTGTTAGCATTTACCTCGTTCATTGCTCTACAGTGTTATTTTGCCAGCATATTCTATGTGCTGACCCGTTTCGGGCTGCAACGTATTATGTTGTAGACTTTTCAAACGAAGAGTAATGTGTGCTAGGTCATTGTCATGCACTCAGCTATGCCGTTGGAGTTGATGGACTCGCCTTATCTTCCAAGTCTTCCGCCGTTATCCTATTTAGATGATCTTAAGCCATATTATTGTAATAAGTTCTCTTTTGAGACATTCGATGTAATAAGTGTGTGATTGTACTCTGTTATAAATCCTTTAAGTACTGTGTGTGAGCATTACCGATCCAGGGATGCCACTTATGCACAGAGATTTGACCGTTTGAGGTCGGATCGCTACACATTACAAGCCACCCATGTTTCTTGGTGAACTGAAGTTTTGATACTGTACTTGTTAGTATGCAAGATATGACTATATCTTATAGAAACCGTAGGATATATAGTCACATAATAGTGTGAATTTGGTACGTATTACTTAAGGGTCTGTTTAGGACGCATCTAGATGTGACATAGTTATGTCACATCTAAACCGATGTCCACTCTATTTGTGGTCTATTTTTTGTCCTAATTTTTTTCATTTCTTGTTGCTGCATTATATATTCGTAGGAGCTTAGATGTGACATTCTTAAAAAACATCTAGATGTGAGTTAGACAAACTGATTACTTAATGGGTCATTATTAAAGATAATTGATGAAGGAATATAAGAAGTTAAGACCTACCATTTATTTCTTCCAATGGAAATCTTAGGATGTACCCAAATCAATGTGAGGCATTCATACTTCTCAATAGGCAAGAGGTCATAAATGACTCTATAGGGTCAATATGGACATTGCAAGCTATTTGAACATTGAAACAAACAATAGTCATTGAAGCACAACTATTTTTATTGTACCACATGTACAACACCCATCTTATTTTTTTGCTAGAAATTTCCATTTAATATATGTGGATTTTCATTTTTGTTTCGCTAACAAGTATGTATTGGTTGTCCAACCCTTGTCCACTATCATATAATAAAACACTAGCTAAATACTCGTGCATTTCTACATAATGATAAACAAATCTAGAGACACCAAGTGGAGGTACTTCTATTACACTGATGCACAGACGTGCTATAGAAACGGTTTTAACTTCCTTTCCGTGACGGAGTTTCCGTTTTAAACCGTCGCATTGCCTGTGTGTGCGATGGGGGGCTTAAGGAAATATGCCCTAGAGGCAATAATAAAGTTATTATTTATTTCCTTATATCATGATAAATGTTTATTATTCATGCTAGAATTGTATTAATCGGAAACATAATACATGTGTGAATACATAGACAAACAGAGTGTCACTAGTATGCCTCTACTTGACTAGCTCGTTGAATCAAAGATGGTTAAGTTTCCTAGTCATAGACATGAGTTGTCATTTGATTAACGGGGTCACATCATTAGAGAATGATGTGATTGACTTGACCCATTCCGTTAGCTTAGCACACGATCGTTTAGTATTCTGCTATTGCTTTCTTCATGACTTATACATGTTCCTATGACTATGAGATTATGCAACTCCCGTTTACCGGAGGAACACTTTGTGTGCTACCAAACGTCACAACGTAACTGGGTGATTATAAAGGTGCTCTACAGGTGTCTCCAAAGGTACTTGTTGGGTTGGCGTATTTCGAGATTAGGATTTGTCACTCCGATTGTCGGAGAGTTATTTCTGGGCCCTCTCGATAATGCACATCACTTAAGCCTTGCAAGCATTGCAACTAAATGAGTTAGTTGCAGAATGATGTATTACAGAACGAGTAAAGAGACTTGCCGGTAATGAGATTGAACTAGGTATTGAGATACCGACGATCGAATCTCGGGCAAGTAACATACCGATGACAAAGGGAACAACGTATGTTGTTATGCGGTCTGACCGATAAAGATCTTCGTAGAATATGTGGGAGCCAATATGAGCATCCAGGTTCCGCTATTGGTTATTGACCGGAGACATGTCTCGGTCATGTCTACATAGTTCTCGAACCCGTAGGGTCCGCACGCTTAACGTTTCGATGCCGGTTATATTATGAGTTTATGAGTTTTGATGTACCGAAGGTTGTTCGGAGTCCCGGATGTGATCAGGGACATGACGAGGTGTCTCGAAATGGTCGATACATGAAGATTGATATATTGGACGACTATATTCGGACAC